AACTTTCTAAAACAAATTACTTCTCTATTTTGCTATATGGTAAGTAAAAGCAGAAATGTTTTCACCATAATCATTTCAGCCAGTGGCATTCTAAAAATTGACTTTCTGATTTACTTTCTGAATCCCTTTATTTATTTTAAATGACCAAATTTAAGATGCTAACTGTGAACTGTTTTTTATTTTTTTGTGGAAATGAAGGTTTTGTACTGAGCACTTACTTGAGAAAGACATCTCTGAGTGCTGATGAGCCAAGATGAATAAATATGCAGCCTTAATGTTTTCCTTAATGTTTAATGCTTAAATGTTTTAAATGTTTTCCTCCCCCCTCCAGTAAAGACAAGGCAATATTTTTGGAATACTTTTCTTTTTAAATAACACTGAGTTTCCTGAAATGTATAGAATCAGATACAATTTGTGCTCCTGACTCATGCAAAAAAAAAACTTCAGTTGAAAATACTGATTTCATTTAAATCAATACAGTTTTGCCATTGACTTCAGCGATGCTGGCATTTCAATCTTTTACTCATGGAAGTGCTAGCAAGGCACTAAATCAGCCTTGCTAGCACTTCCATGCCTTTGTATGTATGTGAGTAGTCCAGTACAGGATAAAGGGAGTCCAGGTCTGTCAGGGTGATACATCAGATTCCTCTTTCCCTTTTTAGTAACATGACATGATGTTGTAAGCATTAAAGGTACGCCATAAATGTATGACAGATTATCTTACCATAAACCATACTGCACAAGATTCAGAGGTTTCCTTAAAAAAACCCTACTTTTACAGTATCCTGTAAAAGGCAAGCATAAATCAGTATTATTTTTGCATAAGAGGTTATTTTAGGCATCTCTTTTTCTGCCACTGTTTTCAGCCATACTAAACACTTTTTGGAAAGTCTAGCGCTTTATATGTCTGCCATGCAAATTTTGAAAAGGTAGATGCACTCTTCATAAGGTCACTAAAGTGATGTGTAGTTTCATAGCCTGTTACAGTATGCAGAGAGAGTATTTGGCTTTCTGACACATTGCACAGTGGAGAGGAAAGTCTGTGTGTTTATCAAGTCCCCCAAAAAATCCAAACAACTAAACATGTCTCAACTTTTCAAAATATTCGCTTTAGACCATGGCATAGCCATTCAAAAAACATACATAGTATGGCTTTTAACCATAGTTATTTTTCGTAACTGATTTTTCATAATTTCAGCATGTTGTTTTGGTTTTGCAGGGAAAACACCAGGGTCAGTGAACAAGCATTGGCAGAAACAGAGTATCATTAAGCATGAGTGAGTATATAGAATATGTCTTCATAAGAATCCAAAGGATTCTTTGGGCAGAGATTGCCTTTCCACTTTTAGTGTCTGCTATACATAGAACAATGGTATCCTACATATGGCTGTCATAAAAATTATCATAATTGCAGATATTGTTATCAGCAACGTAACAGCCAGCAGACTTTCAAAGGCATGAATGTATTTGCTTTCAGACAAAGTCATTAGACGCATCAGTCTTGTATGCTAAAGGGCTGCTTCATGAAAGTGAAGCTATTTTTTTAAGCTATTTAAAAAGTTTCATTGAAGCTTCCAGAACTGATCTGACATAGCATGTTTGGCTTGTTTCCTCCATTTGGGATCTCTCAGTTTACTGAAATATTATGATAACTAGAAGGTTCAAGATTAGAAAAGAATCATGCACAGCCCAGCTTTTAGAGAGACAGCTATGTCATGGTCAGCAGGAGACAGAGTAAATTACTTCTGGTAGGGATCCTAGCAGAACTTTAGGGCAGCAGAGTCCTCCTCTAACAAGCTACTGTAAGTCAGAGTCACAGAGTGAGTCCAGATATTTCAGGGTGAGCAGAGCCATTGGAATAGAGGAAGCAGATGGGAACTAGCAATTTCTCTTTAATATCCTAAAGCCACATATGCAGGACAAGTCCCAGGTCTACCCTCTGGCTTTTAAAAGCAGTTTTGAAAATACAATGACTGGCATTTTTATGTGCCTGCTGTGCCTTTTTCAGAAATCAGCTTGTGAATAATAAGCCCAATATTCCTCTTTGAAGTCAGTATGCTGGTAATATCTCCTGTGCCCAGTATGAGCAGCTGCTCCATCAGAAGGACCTACATATCCTTTATTCTTTATATATGAACAACCATGGAAATGTTTGTTGAACAACAATGAACTTTGAACAACATTGAACAACAGCGAACAACAGCAGCTCCAGCCAGTGACAATCACGGCAGTCAGATGAAGTTCCCAACGACTGGAAAAAGGGAAATATAACCCCCATTTTCAAGAAGGGGAAAATGGATGACCTGGGGAACTGTAGACCAGTCAGTCCCACCTCTGTGCCTGGCAAAATCTTGGAGCAGATTCTTCTGGAAGGCATGCCAAGGCACGTTTAAAACAATGAGGTGGTTTGTGACAGCCAGCAGAAATCAGACCAAGGGAGATGTAACAGTCTTCCTGGTAACATGTACTAGATTGTTATTTGGGCAGCTGGAATGTGGCAGTTCATTCAGTAACCAACTGATCTATTAGCATATGGGCTGGAGGGCACTTTCCAAGGCTTTGATATGTGCTACACTTTGGGGAGTTGGACTAGATGACTTTTGAAGGTCCCTTCCAACCCGAACTGTTCTATGATTCTATGCTTTTCTGAAGTAAAAAGGGAACATTCAAACATTACCATGTGCATAAAACTCCTGAGAACAAGTATTACCTCACTAAAAATTACTGTTTGAATCAATTCCCAAGGTTATACACTACCATCAGCACAACTCAGATGGTAATCCCATATGCTCTTTCTACTTAAGTTGCTTTGTCTTATGGTATTTCTCAGCATTATGTTGACTCTCTTCCAATACTGAATACTCTAAATATTGAAACACATTTTAGGAAAGTTTGGGTGGAACTTGATCTAACATCTTCGCAATCAATATAGCTGCTTTCCTTTGATGTACTGAAGAATTGCACAGCTGCAGGCAGAGGCGACCCCACAGCAGCAGGCGGAGGTGCCCCCACTGCTGAGTGGACGCAGCTGGCAGAGCTGCTTCATCCAGCTGTGTCCAGCCAACACCGCCCAGCCCATTCTCACCACTGCTGCTGCTCCTGCTCCACTGCCGGGTGGTACCAGCTGTTCCGAGCAGTGTGGAAGCACTCCCCGGGCTGGCAGCAGAGGGAAGAACTGGCTTGGGTCTCACACAGCTCTTTCTATGCCCCTTCCCCATGCACAGACCACCTGAAGGAGTCACCCAGCTGCCCTCCATCAAGCTGGTGCTCAAGGAGCTGAGTGGCCGCAATTCTGTAAGTGTCCCTCCTGCCACTGCTCTGCCCCAGGGGCTGCCCCACCCCAGCATCAGCTGCATGGCTCCTCATCTTCTGCTCTTTTCCCATTGCCTAGGATTCAACACTGCATGCCAGCGGCCTAGAGAAGCTGCTCCAGCACCAGGCTCAGGTCAGGCTCACAGCCTCTCACACACAGCCAGGGCCTGATGCAGCTCACCAGGGGCCTGGTCTGCTGCAGGGCTGCTTGGTGAGCGCAGCACATTTCTTGCAGGCTGGTGCCAAGCAGGAGCCACCTCCAGAAATTGAGGTGGATGTCTGGGAGCACTCTCCCGATGCTTCTCCTCCACGGCTCTTTGCTTTGTTTCCCTTGGCAGCAGTGGGATCCATAGGAGCAGGAGGAGGCTGACCAAGACATTTGTGTGGCCAGGGACCTCAGCTGCAGTAGAGGCACTGGGGCCGCCAGGCTTTGCTGGTGCAGAGGCTCTCTTTGGCTGGCACCTGCCAGCTCTCTGCAGACAGGAGAGCATACTGCCCCAGCCCTTCCAGGTAAGCCAGCACGGCCAGGGGGTCCCCATCCCACCCCACCTCATCCCATCCCATCGCATCTCATCCCATCCCACTGGCTCCTCCAGAGAAGGGCTGTCCCCAGCACCTACCTCAGTGCCTGTCTCCAGCCCAGCAACTCTCCTCTGTGCCCGCAGGACCTGCTGGTTCTGCTGAAAAAGCATGGACCATCCACAGAGGGGATCTTCTGGTGGGCAGCCAGCGAGCATGCCTCCCGTGAGATCAGGGAGGCCCTCAACAGCGGGGTTGAGGTCCACCTTGAGAACTAGCCTGTGATGCTGCTGGCTGACAGCTTCAAGGTGAGCCCTGCTGACCTGGAGCCCAGCAGCCCCCAGCTCTCTTGGTGCTGATGGGCACCTGCAGGAGCACAAGCAGAAACCCAGTCACCTGCTCATGAACCAGAGGGCCTGGGGATGCTGCAGGTGCTCCTGGGGGCAGTGGCCAAAGCCTCATATGGAGCCCTTGGCATTGCAGGATCTCCTCCGCAAGATCCCCTTCAAACTCCTTGATGTCCAGCTATACGAGGAGTGGATGAGTGCCCTTCAGAAGACCAGCAGGCAGGAGAGGCTGGCAGCACTGAAAGAGTAAGTGTGGCAGCAGCCTGCCTGCTCCGCAGGGACTGGCACAGGCCAGGACTCGCCTGCAAAGCAGTGGCCTGCCTGAAATAGCCATGGTTTATGCAAGCCACCTCTACTGATGTGGGGTTTGGATCTGGGGAGAAAGGGTGACAGAAAATCTTTTCTCTGTGGGAATCACTTTCTGCAGACATTGGAGCTTGCTCCAGCAAGGGCCTCTTTCAGAAGGGCAGGGAGGGAGGGGGGTGGCTGCATCTCAGGGAAGGCAGTCCCTCCACTATAAACCAGGTGGTGGCCTTGGGTGAGATCAGCCTGGGAGACCTGTGTTGTCAACACCAACTTCATTAAGGTTGTGCTTCTGTTCCCTCTGGGTGGCCAGCAAGTTATCTGAGGCCAACATGCTCCTGCTTCAGCACTTGCTGTCCCTGCTCCATAACATCACCAGGAACCTGGCCATGAGCAAGTTGACAGCTAGGAACCTGGCCATCTGCCTGGGTCTAAACCTCATCAGCCCCCACCATGAGCTCCCCCCGGATGTCCTGGCAGGAGACAGGGAAGGTACACTGTGTTCACCTCTCAGCTACAGCCTCCCCAGCTGACCTTAGCCTTGTTGCTCAGAGGGCCCTGGCTGCCTCCTCCCATCAGCAGCTGGGAAGAGCAGCCACACAGCTGCACCTTCCTGCACAGAAGTGTGGATCAGGCTGGAAAAGGCTGTTTGAGCCCTTATCAGCCTCCTTGGTGAAACCAGAGCTCTGCTGTGTGCAGGTGACGCAGCTTGTGCAGCTCTTTATTGAACACCAGGAAGAACTCCTTGGGGAGGAGGTGGTTGGGCCGGCTAGTGAGGGGGATGAGGAGCCACCAGCACCTCAGACGGCACCAGAAACAGCAGAGGTAAGTGAAGTGCACAAACAGCATAACAAAAAACTCCCCCCTCAGAAGGTGGGGCTGCTGCTGCAGGGACAAGCACGGTCATCCACCAGCCTGCAGCTCTGCCAAAGCGCAAAGCAAGGCTGATGCAGGTTGGCCATCCCTCTTTGTGCTGTGATCCCACCACAGCTGGCTCACCTGAGCTGAGCAAACCCACCCAAGGGATGTGCCTTTCAGAGCTAGGGCAGCAATTGAGCAGGGAGGTCGTTGCCCCCTACTAACTTACACATTGCCATTGCAGGTGCCTCCCATTGCTCCCAAAAGCAAACACCTGAAGAGCTCTTCTGGGGAGAGAAAGTAAAACTACCTTGCTTTCCTGGGTTCAAGGTAATCATGACTTCACCTGTCTAACTATGCTATTGAACAGAAAGGTTGCCTGGGTCTTCATGGGGCACCAGGAAGCGAAGAGCAACCTGTGAAGAGGGGAGCAACTGACAACTGGTCATTAGGAAGAGAAGGCTGGCAACCGAGCTGCCAGAGATGGGCAACTGAGTAAATCCAAACAGGGGAAGGAGAACAAGGCACCTGGGTATATAGCAGATCCTGTTTTCAACCTTTCAAAGCTCTAAGTGTAGGAAACATCCCTGAAGTGAACAGGATGAGTCCTAGACAGGGGGCATGTACATGCCCTTGGGGGAACATGGATGTCAGGTGCCTCTCCCCTGTATCCCCTTTTACAGCATACTTCAAAAAAAAAACAGGAGTCAAGTTCCGCCTGTTCTTGCCCTCATGGCTTCATCAGCACTTTCTGAGTCTGCCCTTGCAGGTGCCCATTTCCTTGTGCTGCTTGGATTCCCTGGATGAGCTCTGCCTCCTGGGCTTGCAGTTCCACCCTGCTGCCCCAGCACCACCCAGGCGGCAGCAAGGACAGCGCCACCCTGTCCTTCTGCTCTGTCTGGAAAGTTCCACCAGCTCGCTTCAGAGTCAGAGCAGTGCCCTCAGACCCATTCCAGACCTTGCAGGGGGCCTTGTTGGCTCACTTGTCAGCTCTGCCAGCAAATGCCACCCTCTGACCCATCTCCCTGAGTGGGGAGCTGGCCTCTGAACTCCATCTCACACATGGCCTTGAAGATCATTTGAGTGGGACAGAGGGCACAACACTTATGCTGGGACACTTGTTTATTACTGTGTTTGTTAATATGTTTATTATTGTGTTCATTACTATGCTTATTGTTATGTTTATTACTATGTTTGTTACTATTATATATTACTGGTTTTTATTACTGTGTTTATTACTCCTTTGTTTCTGAAATAAATTTTAGGATATACTTTATCATATATTTAGGATATATTTTTAGAAACATGTCAGAGGATATAGGATATATTTAGAGAGTAGTTTAGGAAACGTTATAGGATAGTATTTATTTCATATTGTTTACACACTTCTAGGGTCATAGAATAGTTATGGTTAGAATAGGGTAGTTAGGGTTGGAAAGGACTTCTAGGAATTTCATATTATGTCACAAGACTACTCTTAGAATGATTTTTCAGCTATATTATTAAAAAAGCAGAAAGAATTACAAAAGTCATATCTCTATCTTGCCATCTGCATCCTGTAGAATGCAAAATGGAAAAAAAAGTATACTTTGATTGTCTATGTATTAGGAAAGAAATGACAGAAAGATATTTATGAAAGCAGAAGAAGAATGGTAAGTTATCACATATCAGACTTGACACTTCTGAGTGGGTGTTAAGAAAGCGTATAATGCCAGCATAGCTACACTGCCTTTTGGTACGGGAACAAACCACTACACCTTGAAAAGGTTAAAAAAATTCATTCTAAGCAGAGAGATGCTGAACAAAAAAAAAAACAGAAAACACACAAACAAAACACCTGACAAACAAAAAAAAACAAACAAAACCCAAAAAACAGACCCAAAAAAAACTAAAAAACCCTGAAAAATCCCACAAAAAAGAAACCAAATTAAAAAAAACCCTAAATTATTTTTTGAAGATAATAATAATAAAAAAAAATCCTTAGATCCCTCTGCACTCAAAAGTGAGAAACATCAGCTCTCAAGATCTCAGTGGGATCTGCCATAGATGTCCAGTGTATATAGTGATACTTTATAAACAGAAGGCTATCTAAATGCCATTGGGAAATTACAGCAGGCATTCCATCCATCTTCAAACAAAGCTGTCTTAAATCTGAGTACCAACAAAGCGATTTGTTTGTAATAGGGCTGAGTGACAACTGCTACAGCATGGCATGGGACAGAGGAAAAACTGACTTGAAACCTGCATCCATGGTTCAGGCTCTTCTGCTCTTTTTAGAGGAAGGTTTAGGGTGTGTTTTTCACATTTAGATGTAATTTCCACTGAAGTTTCAGAATGGACTGAAAACCACAAAGTTGGCAATATCATGATAGTCTTGCAAATACTTTGCAACAAAGGAAGCCTGAAAATATTAGAAAATCTAATTTCCAAAATTCTTGATTTAATACAATATTATTGGTACTCCTCAAACAGCTCAAACTCTCAACATTTCAGATCAACAAAAGGCAATGATTATTTTCTTCAGCCTGAAGTTCTGCAATTTATCTGATTTCCCAAAGATATGAAACTCACTATAGTGCTCTATGACCATCTGTGTATATATGTCACACATGTGTGCGTATGTATTTTCCATTCTCACCATAATAATTTCAAATATTTTACCCAATTTTAACTCTATTTCATAAGGTTCTACATTTTTACAAGTGTTGAAGAAGTAAGTCATTATAGACATAGGTAGGGAGTTCCTATTCCTGCCCCAGAAGAGAGAAAGGCTTTTATGCAAGCGCTGACGCTGCAGACAATTCACATAGGAGGTGAGCCTGAAGGTGTGAATTCATAACAAATGAAGTATCATCTACTCTGCTGATGGAAAATCTACCAGGTTTTGGAACTGCCAGAAAACCAATAGATTAGTTCTCTGAGAAACCAGTCTTGGCTATAAGGTATCTTGAGACCATTTTGTCTTTCCTGGACAGAGTTATCTTTACCATCCAGACCACCCTGAATGTTAACTGGGTTTAGCTTCCTTTTTGAACCTCTAAGATGTCCTTTGACATAGAAAAAAATCCCATTAGTGATGCTGAAGGGCTCAGTTCTTCCTTTCCCACCCCAGGACGTCTTTTTTTTAGTTCGACTCCCAGATGACCTTCTCCCACCTGTCCTGAATCCTATAAATATTTTTCTAAAGCCTGCTGGGTTTCTGCACCACTCCACAACCCAGTTCAGCAACACACAGTAACCTTAAGCTGCTGCACTGAAATCAATACTCACGTGCCTAAGTGCTTCGCTGTAAAGGGGACTGGATAGCCATAAGGCCATTGCCTTGTCACTCCATGTAGAGTGATTACTCTGCTATGCAGTAGAACTCTGTAAATGTGATCTGTTCAGCACAGCAAATAAATACCTCTATTGGAACATTCACGTAGGGCTTATTTGTGACATGTGTGAATGTTATTTATTAGAAAATTTAAACATTATTGCAGCCAATTAGAAAAGCACTTTTTATTACTTGCAGCCTTTGCTGCTGCCAGTGCCTCATGTCTTCCCTCTTAACACCACTGTTATATACTGGCTCACTTAAAAGGCACAGGGAGCATGCCCAGCTCTGCAAAGGTTCTGTAATCTGAACTCCAGGTGTGATGGTAGTCTGATTTCAGCTATGCTGCTTGTGCTAAAACTCAAGCAGACATGAACACAACTATTTGGAGGATTCAAATCTCCACTTGGACATTTGAGCCATTGATCACTCTTTGGGTGCAAACATCCAGGCAATTCCTTATCAAGTTAGTGTCCTGGGTTCAGCAGTAGCAGTCATTTTTCTCCTTCTTGGTAGCTGGTGTAGCGTAGTGTTTTGACAGCCAAGTTTGGTTCTTGCATTGTAGGTATGTTCTGGATGACTAGTATATAAGTTCACTAGGAACCAAGTTTCCAGTAAAGTGGTCAGCACCAGAAGTTTTTCATTACACCAAATTTAGCAGCAAGTCAGACGTATGGACCTTTGGTATGTATGGAATTTGACTTATAAATATACATGCATATATGCCACTATGTTTGGATTTCCTCAGCTTACTAAGCAGAAATGATAGACATTTACACACATAAGGAATGTAAAAAACATTTACAGCTTATGTTCTTGTTTAATAGTTTTATGCATCCAAGCCCCATACTCTTCAGATTTTTCTAACTATACTGTTTTTCTTCTAGGCACATTAAAACTGCCTAATCCCCATTTACCATTTATGTGTTTTAATATGGTAAACTAAACTGTTGGCAGTGGAGATCAAACAGTATCTTTGGTGTATCTAGACAACAAATCAATGCTGCTCAACTCAAAGCTTTTCTGTTAGTCACAGAGGTCAGAGTGGACTGCGTGCATGAGCCAGCTGTGGAAGAGAGTGGGTGAGCTAGGACTGTGTATCTCAGCAAAAATAAAATACGTTTGCAGATCACTTTCTATCCAGGAATTTCAAACATCTGAACTTCTACTTCAGTGCTTTTCAAGCTATGATTTACAAATCCCTGGAGCCTGTTCCCTGTTTCTAAAAGTCTGCAAAAGGTATCAAAGGGAGCCTTTTGTGAATGTGCTTAAATTCTGCTTACATCCTCCTAAAGCAGGAATTTTTTTTTGCAGCTGTCAAGTTGATGAAAGATTGGCAATCCACTTTTCTTGACATTGAACAATGGTGAATAAAGCAGATGAAACTATTTCCAAATAATGGGCTTCTTCTTATCTTTAACTTCAGCTAGTCTCCCAGTATTAACAGCCACAAGAGAAACAGCTCATTCATGCCCTTTACAGGTTATTTATAATATATCTGATTAAATCAGAAGTTGGATTTTCTGGTGATACTTTTTCTTTTTTCTCTTATAAAAGAAATCCTGGCTCCAGGCTACATTGTTGTTAACTTCAAAATTGGCATTAATTTCAGTGAGAAACATTAATTTTCTCTGGAAGCTCTTTCCGCGTTTAAAAACTATCTGTTGATGCAGTGGAAGCAAGGGGAGAGCAGGATACATCAGTTCTTGTTTGGTTGGTTTTAACTAATGAGTCTTTAAAGGGCTAAAGAACTGATGTATTCATATCCCAAAAGCAGATGTCAGAGAACAAATAACCTTGTTGTTTAAATTTTCTCATCACAGAAAGCTGGCATTCAGATACCATTTTATTCTGATCCCACTGTACAATGCTCCACTCTTCAGAATAATTGCTGATAGTGCACCTGGGTCTTGAATAAGCCAGGGAGTGTTTAGGTGCAAGGTCGGGCTGGGAAGCAGCCTGGGGAGTGATTGTTTATAGACTGGAATTTACAGTAACTGAAAACAGTCACTGGGAATGATGTAGTTGCTGTTTGGCTTTATGGCTCAGATCTGTATCTGCATGCTATGTATTACCATGCTTCGGTGAATAAAGAAGAGCTAGTTGTGAAAGCAGTGTGTGTGTGCATGTGCGTGTTTAGCCTCTTTCTTTACAGATGCTGCAGTCATTGCTGACAGTATTGCATATCACCGTGAAATAAATATTTCACTTTTTTTTCACTTTAGGGTTGGCATGATTATCACATATGTTCAGTTACAACAAAAATTGTTTCTTGTAAAAGCTATCATTATGAATTAATGATTATGATGTTATCCAGTGTTTCTATTGCTTCAGTATAATCCTGTTTTTACAGGTATGTGTAGCTGACACTATAATGTATTTGGCTATCTTTCTGTTATGTCCCACAGAAAACAAAAAATCAGTAGCAATCTTTCCTATTATTCTATAAAAACATAGATACCTATAGCTGTCATTTTGGGTTTTTTCCCCTCTTTCTGTGTGCATTCACATACATAAAGGGATGTTTGAATGGATTTTGTAAAAAGCTCAGTCCATGGATAGCTATATCTTGGGATTTCTCCATCATTGACTACTTTATCCATCATTGACTACATTAGATATATTTTATAACTGTCTTTATCATTTAACTTTACCTTATTCTGCAGTAGAAGTTGTTTTATATTTATGTACAGAATCGCATTTGTCAGTCATATCTGTACTTTTCTTTGGACTGTATTCTCTGTGGAGTCTGACCAGTCATATGTTGCATGTGTGTCTTGTTCTGGGAAAAAGGACTAATCTTCTATGTCTTGACTTTCATTTTTTGTCCTCCATTGCCATGAAAATTTTTGCAGGTATCTTAATGTGGGAGATGTCACTTTGGGAAAGCACCCCTACAAGGTTTATGATAACATGAAGGTGATTGAGAAAGTTTTTCAGGGATACAGACTTTATAGACCGCAACTGGTTCCAGACATCATCTACCAGATAATGTACAACTGCTGGCATGAGGTATGTAAATCTCCACATACAAACTGGAGAAAACAAAATAATAAAGGTCACTAGGAACCCCTCTTGATAGCTGAACTAATGTTCATAGTGGAAAATATCCCTTATAAAAGCCATTGATTGTACATTCTATATATCAGTCTAATTCAGGACATTGTTAGTACAGGAAACAGGCCATGAAGGAAGATTGGCTCCCTTTTATCAGAACCATGTATTTAGCAAATAACAATAAGTGCACTTCAACATCAACATGATACACAGAATGAGATTCTTCTCATCTAATTTAATAGTTTAAAATTTGGGTGCTGAGCTAGCTAACTGCCTTAATTCCTTCCATGGTTACAGGACCATTACTGTTACCTGTCCATGGTCATTTATCTTGTCTATCTCAGCCACCACAGAATAAAATACCTGCTTTCTTATACAGCGATCTTAAACAGCAAATGTAGATGAAATGTCTGCCTCTTTAGACAGCTTAAGTTCTGTGAAGCAGCCCCACCCTTAGAATGAGAAGGATGTGCTACCCTATCAGTGAGTCTTCTAGGAGTTGTAAGTCAGATGCTGACCATGCTCATTTTATTTTGACACCTGCATCTTCTCTACCAAGACTTATGCTGATTTATTGTTCCTCTTCATTGAAATTTTATACAGCTGTCTGTGGACCATGACTTGTGTCTCAGCAGCAACAAAGAACTGTTTGGCACATTAGTAGTGATACCATGAAATGACAGTGATGTTTGGTGTTTTTGTAATATAATTGTCAGAAAAATAAGAAAAATAGCTTACATTTGAGGAAATGTTAATGCAAAGAAAGAAGTTTAAACTATCACAGCGTAAGACATATATAAAAAGTAATTTAATTTTTCTTATCTCATAGTCATCACTGTCTCTGCAAATTTCTGCATGCTAAAATCAGGAAAAACTAATGCAAATTCCAGTTCCTGAATGATTTCAAAATTAAATAACCTTATGCATCATCTTTGCTTCATTTAGCTACCAGAAAAGCACCTTGCCTTTTATCAGCTCTTGTCTTTTTTTGAGGCACTAAGAGAAGACAACAGATCTTGAAAAAGAAGACTCTGCATACTGGTTCCATATCACCTGTCTTCTATATGAGAGCTAAGTCTGAAATCTGCCTGACATTAGCTATCCCTATTATTCTGTATGTTAGCGTTCTTCTCATTTAATCAGCATTCTGGGGAAAGAAGCATATGGAGAAAGCTTTTGTAACACTCTGTAGGTGACAGAATTTGCAAGGATACTGAGGTAGAATATAATTCATTTTGTTAACATTGTCTCAAAAGACTTTTCAGACACTGAGATATATATTCCATTTGTGTACACTCCTTCAGTGCATCAAGCAGTTATTATTTGGCCTTAACTGCAAATGTAAACAAGGAAATATATGCTTGTTAGGTTTTTTTCTTATCATAACTCACCTGAATGTGTTTTTTCTCTGTAATCACCTGAAACTGATGCCTGAAGTAGGTCAAATTTAGAACTGCTGCGAGTGACAGAAACACAGGTTATAGTCTTGCTTTCAATTACTAAGAAATTACTACTGGTAAAATATTATATGTTTGCTTACAAGCACTATTGACTTAAGTTTCAGTCCTCAAGGTGTACATTTGATTTCAAATTATTCTAAGCTACATATCTAAGATATCTGCATCTTAGCAGATGAGGTATTTACTAGAGCGTTATTGCTTCCTGCTGCAGGTAAAAATAGAGAAAAAAAAAGTTTTATGCAGAATTCCTTAGTCATTGCAATAGCAAATGGTAAATTTGCTGATCTCTATAAAACCTGAAGAAAATTAAAAATGCTATCAATATAATTACTTTGCCAAATACTTTACTACTGAGGAGGTGAAATTTGGCTCCTGACTTTAACACTTAAATAAGAGCACCCAACTTTCAAATGTGCTCAGCACTGCACAAATTAGTGCTAACTTCAGTAAGTCTAGAGTTACCAAATACATCTGCAGCTAAAAAACTGAGGCATCTAAACTTAGACACTGGCGTTTACAAAATGCTGATCTAGTACGTATAAAATAAGGGGGGTTTAAAATAAAGTCTGAAAAACCACTCTCCTCTCTCCTTATATTCCAGCTAGTTCGGTGTGTGATGCCTCTAAGAGTCCAAGTCACATCTGCTTGCCTTTTCTGTGATGGAGCTGGCTCTACCCTATCAGGGACACCTCTACAGGTCCAGTTTGAGCTCAACTGAATGTAAAGAGTAAGAAATGCAGGGTGCAGACAGGTAGGGAGAGGGGAGAAGGAAATTAAACCAGAGGTTCCAGCACCTGTGCTCACTGGTGTTGCCTGGTCCCAGCACTGTAAGGTGGCAGGCAGAGCACATCCCTGTCTGCACTGGGAGCTGTGAACGAGTCTGAGGGAAAGCAGCATTTCGGGTCATTCAAATGACTGTGGGGATCTACACAGGCCTGGAAGGCCATGGGAAGCTGCATTTAATGGAGAAGTAGGGGCATGGTATGATGCTGCCTATGCATCAAGTTGGGCCAAGGAGTGCTGGCCCAGAGAAAAGGACAGGAAAGAGTGCTGACACAGGCAAAATCTGAAAGGAGTGTGCCCTTGCAGCACAGAGGATATGAGGTATTGTTGGGGCTAATGCATGTGGTTGATTTTTTCAATATAAATGTTTTATTTCTGTTCTAACATCCTGCTGTATTTTTTTTAGTGGCTTTATGTGTTGACAGTTCTGAATGGTGTTTTTTTGATTCATAGCACAGCTTTTAAAATTAATTGCTTGAAATGAAAGCTTGCTTTAATGGAAATGTTAGTCTTAACAACAGATCTGAAGATAGCTGGCATGACAAATTATGTTACTTGATTGTTTCCAGCTTTGCCATTCCCTTTTTCCGTTACCGCACATTAAGTGGGAAGACCACATATAGTTGAATTATTTATCTCAGAAGTTCAGCTGAAGTACTAAGATTTGGGGATGTTATGGCAATGGGATATATGATGTAGGTAAGAAACTTAGAGAAAAATTATTTTTATTGCTTTACATTCCTGTCTAGTTTGCAGTTAATCAGTATCATCTGCCTACCATCTCATTTAAGGGCTTTGTCTCTTAAATATGAAGGGAGAGTGAAACATTAGGATAGTGTTTTATGAATCCACAGAGTCCAACTGTATGTTTTCAGATATGTTTGCCAGCTTTCTACAGTTTCTGGTTATTTTGGAGGCACATTATTTTAAAAGTCTATGCATTTGTTGAATGCTTTCATGCAGGCTTGTGTTTGCTACCAGCTTTTTGTCAGAATGCATGACTGGGTAGATACCTTGTGCTTTTCAGTGACCCTGGTGTGACAGAAGAACTGCACTGGCATGGTGGCAGGAATGGCATAGATGGCATAGGTCCTACAAGAGACAGAATCACAGAAATGCTGGCTGGAAGGGATGTCTGGAGGTCACCTAGCCAAACTTTTTCAGTCAGAGTGGGACTGTCCCCACTGCTCGGTCAGCCATTCCTTTGCCTACCTGAGTTCTGGACACTTTAAACGTGAAGATGCCACAGTCTCTCCCAGAGCATGGAACAGGGAACCTGTTCCAGTATTGCAATACTGTCCTGGTGAAGAGCATTTTCTTTTTCAGGTGCAACTTGAACCTCTCAAGCCCCAGTCTACTGACCCCTGTATATAATAGTGCAATTTGTATTTGTAGCATGCAGTATTTGTAATGCAATATTTGTAATAGCGGTGGTGAGGTACTGAAAAATAGAAAAACTTTACTGTCCTGGGTTCAGCAGTAGCAGTCATTTTTCTCCTTCTTAGTAGCTGGTGCAGCATTGTGTTTTGACTTTCGGCCTGGGAACAGAGTTGATAATGCTGATGTTTTAGTCTGACCAAGGACTTTATGAGCCTCATGCTCTGCCAGGGAGGAGGGAAAGCTGGGAGAAAGCAGAGACAGGACACCTGACCCAAACTGACCAAAGAGGTATTGCATACCACAGCACGTCATGCCCAGGAGGTAACTGGGAGTTAGCCGGAAGGGCTAGGACTGGGGGGCTGGATGAGGTATCTGCTGGTGCTTGGTGAGGCTGGGGGAGCAAGTTATCGGTCGGCTGGTGGTGAGATGTTGTATTCTCTTCCCTTGTTATTTCCTTTATCATTATTATTATTGGTGGTAGCAGCAGTGATTTGTGTTATACCTTAGTTACTAAACTGTTCTTATCTCAACCCGTGGGACCTGCATTTTTTTTGATTCTCCTCTCTGTCCCTCCGGAAGTAGGGGGAGAGCAAGAAGGAAGGGGGGGGGGGGGGAGTGAGTGAACAAGCTGGCTGGCTGGGTTTAAACCATGACAATAGTTTGGTTTTAAGAAAGTTATTCCATTTTTGGATGATAACATAACACAGAGATCTTTTAATTATTTTTTTTTTTCTGAGAGAGCATGGGCTATTTGTCTTTACAATACTTATCAAGCAAGCAGTTAGAAAAATAACTTATGTTACAACTTCCTAACAAAGTTCCAGTGCTTGTTAGCCTTCATCTAGTATCCATTTCACATTGATATAGATTTCCTGAAGGTGCAAAAATTGCAGTTTCATAACAAATTGAGTTCTTCATCACTACAGATCTTCTGGTGATCAGTGGGCTTTTTTTCTTACTGTCTATTAGACACCCTTTTAAGGTCTCTGTCTTGAATGATCAAGATTTTCCTCACAGGCATTAGGAGTGTGTGAACTATTGTTATGTCTGTCTTGACCTGTATACAACTGTATACTTCCAAGTTTTTGCATCTCATTATAGAAGAAGCAAAAAGAAGTTGGATACAGCACACTTATGGAAAGCAGCAGTGTATAACATTATGTGCATAATTCATAGAAAAGCCACAGGACATATATATCTTCAAATTTGCATTTTTTCTAGTTACCACATAAACAATAGATGTAGTTGATGTTGCCTATGAACCAGTAAGTTAATGGTCAATCAGAAGATACTATGCATAACACTATGACATCCATAGTATTTTGGTCCTTGCTAGGCACTACTGCTAAAAGTGAGATGAAAAATCCCACAAATCCTTAGTGTACCCACATCTTCTAGAATGATGTTTGTGTCTCTTCAGATGGCTCAAAACCCATGTTGCTTTTTCCTTCTTCAGCATAAGGGTTCACTTCTTGACAGTTTGATCCTGCTTCACCTCTCCTTTCTCTCTCTTTCCTGTAATGAAAATGCAGTTTCTTATTAGAAGCCTCTGTTCAGTTCAAGTCCTTCTGGATCCCCAGAATCCCCTACTGTAAATAATACTGTGTTTAAACAGGAATCTTTATATAAAAGGAATTGTGTCGGTTTTAAGGGAACTGTAGCAAACCTACTACATTCTTAGAAACACCATTAACGGAGACACATAGAAAACCAACCCAGCTACATTGCTGTTAATGCAGTAATATTTAAAGAACATTACATTACTGGACAGCCTCCAACAAGATTACTGAAAACTGCCACTGGTGATGAATGTGGGCAACTCTGCTCTCGGAGAAGGCACTGTGTTCCCAGCAGGCCACACCATCAATCTTGCAGTGAGGCTGGCAGAAGCCTAGCTCCTCACAACTCCCTGAAGCTACAGCATCCAGCTGTGATGATGATGGGGAAATTGCACTAAGCTGCCAAATCTGCTGTGCAGGAAAAGCAGGAAGCTGAGCCTTTAGCTATCACTGTTGGTGGGAGGGGAATTATAAGCAGTAATTCCTTAACTTGCTTCAGTTAGATTTGGCAGCCTATTTGTGAGCACCCTGGCGATTCAGTCATCAGGACATCTTCCAGCGGTCATGATCATAGTATCAAAAATATTACTCACTTTTTGCGATCTCTCTGACCAGTGATGATCAACACAATAACTCCAATGACAACCAGGCTAATGACCACCCCAAATATAATTAACCAGATGGTGACTGGTGGTTCATAAGGTGTGGCCAAGGTTGGAAGTATGCCCACAAACTCCAGCGTGTTATCATCCAGTCTGAAAGCCTCATTGATACGTCCCCGAGACATCCTGCCATTGAGAGCAAATTCAAAGAGTTTTGCATGTTTATTGGAAGCATACAAACAGTTTTCAGTTGATTTATAAATCTCCAGTGTCAGCTTCCCCTGGGCTGCTCAGTTGGAAAGGCTGCAAAGGAGGTACTGTTAAGCCCATGTTCCTTCTGGCATAGGTCAGTGAGTGACAACCACAGTAACGTAAGCTCTTAATGTATTGAAGCTTAACTGGCATGTTCAGAGACTGAATGAACTCTTAACCTCAGTCTTGACATTTATAAAAATGAGGCAAACAGCCTTCTGATCTCCCTCTCTATTTGCATTTCTCCCATGATTCTCTTTACCTTAAGTGTCTTAGCTATCTGTAAGTTTCTTCAACATGTGATAGAAAACCACGGCTTTGAAGGAAACCACAGAAGACCTGGTTCCCTCCTACAGTGTTCCATAGTTTTTATTCTTGTGTTTTTCACTGGCCTGAAACCCCTTTCTTTGGTGTATTTTCTGTGCTTTGTTTTTCCCTGAACTTCTGCTATTGAGTGCTAACCAGACAGTGACTATCGTAGCCATATTCTTCTCCCTTGGTTCACCAACTTATCTCACTGCTTTTTCAACCCCATCTCATACTGCATCTGCTTTTAGATTTGTGCCCTCTTCATTTCCCACTGTAGATTACCTGTGACAAATTGCAGAATTGCAGTTTTACTTATCATTTTTACAGCAGTGACTTACAGTACTGTCATACTGTGCTATAAGGAGCTCTTCATTGATCCATAAGTAGGAACAATCTCCTGTTCTGACCTCTTCTTTTCTGTATAATTGAATACATCTGGCTATCTTTCTAATACATCATTGTTCTGAAGTCCTTACTGACAATAAATCTTCCACTGAATTTTCACTTATGAGAGGAGAAAACACACATGCATTCACACACAGTTACGGTGCTCTGTATTTCAGAATATAAGATCCTGTTAAAGTTCAAGCAATATGATATTTTCTGGCAAAGTATGATGCAATTAGGTGTGTTACAGCAGTTTTACAAGCATGCTGAAGCATTCTACATTGGCTGTTGTCCAA